TATTTCAAATTTTATTTTGTATTTTTTTATCTCATTTCATCTCACCCTGAACCCCAGTTTGAAAACCCCTGTCCTAATAGAAATGCAATTGGTTTCATTACTCACCATGACTAAAGCAATAAGCCCCAAGAAGCCGACGCGAAGCAGAGTGCCTAAAACCCCCTTAGCTGTTATAAATTCACTGTAAACCACGGCTTCACGGGGCTTATTGCTTTTATAAAATGGTTATTCCATATACGTAGTAAGGTTTCACAAAATAAAACAGAGCAAAGAAAGTGTAATGATAATAAAAACATTATTCTTCCGTCAAACAATGTAGTTCCTCAGAACCAGTTGTGGTTGCAACAAAGTGGTTGCCGAGCAACAGACAAATATAAACAAAGGTGTATGTTTGTAGAGTAATTTACAACAGCTTCGAACGCGGCTCAACCAATCAGAATCAAGGACCGGAACTATCTGTTTTATAATAGAACTGTTGGACCTGATGGTGGAAAGTGTGTTTTGATGTTCATCTCTCTCTCTGTAGAGTGAAGACAAGCTGAAGCCGGTGAAGGTCGTCCCAGGACATCTACAGTGTTTGGAGCATGCAGTGAAACAGAGTTATTTCCCTCGAGAACACATCACTGTGCTGAACGCTTTCATGGCCAGGTAACCCAACAAACAGAAGTGTTTACCTTTATGAACGTTTTTTGTTATTAACAGCATGTGATGCGTTTGATTATTTTATATACAGGCCGAATAAGTCGCTGGAGCCGTGCGGCAGTGCTCGAGATCGCTTGCAATCCACCCTGCAGAAACTCAAACCTGAGAGCTGAACAATTCTGAAACACACGTGTGCTTAAAAGACTTGCATCTGATTTTTAATATTAAACAGTCATAACAGGTCTTGAAACCTCACCTGATTTCCTGCCTAGTTTATCTTCCATCTAAGCCAACATTCAGATTTATAAAAACAATCTTTAACATGGAAAAGTGCTTAGCGCCAGGGCATATCAACTATTTCAGAATTGAGGGTACAGAAAGTTCAAGTGTAATATTGGTTTATTCGAATGATAATATATATGATAATGATATATAATATATATCAGAATATAGTTACTTTTGCTATGAATAAAGTTCCTATGACATCAAAATTGTTGATACCACTGAAATTTCATAAAGCTTATCACCAATTTCAACACCGCAAA